TTCACATGAAAATTACTCTGAATTAAAAACACTGATCATTTATTGAACAGGATGGAATCATTTCAGATTTAAAGAACTTTCAGAAGTTTGAATTCTGAATGTGAGCAGATTTTTCCTTTAACTGGGCTGGGTTTCTTTATTGTTGACTCTTCTCATGTTTGTTGATTGTTATATGCTGTTAGTCTGTTTTGAGGAAAAATGTTGAGAACTTTAAAGGGAATTAGTTATTTTTGAGGATCTGTACTTGCAAAACTATCAGGTCATACATCAAAGAATGTTTTGAAATGACTTTGGTTGTGATCTCAAGGTGTCGTCTAGAAGTCGTTTTGACTTATTTGTTTAATATCTGTTGGATTCTTGCATGGTTTAGTATAAGAGCGGATCAACACTGGCCTGCCATAGTGGTGCAGCATTTTCTGAGTTGGAAAATCATTTAAACTGAGTGAAAGGGACCCACCTCTAATCACATAAACCCAAATAACATTTTCTTATTTGATGACAGAACAAGCATCTCGCTGGTACCACCAAGTTACTTTTTCCAGAATCGAGTTTCTCCTAACCCTACCATAAACGCCATAACTGTTGGTCCACATCCTTTCACACTATACTATAAAAGACTGAACCAGTATTAGATATCACACCAAGAAACGAGCCAACAACAGGAGCAGCTTGTCTGATTAATCGGATGTCTGCATGTCTGCCAGTAATACAAGAAACTGTGTCCTTGGAGAACCATCTGCCAGCAGACGGAGAAGGCAGACTGACTGTCTGTTTTTGTGGTCGTCCGTTTCTTTTGTTCGTGGCATATTAAAGCTTGGGTTTTTTTGTGATGTAAGGAAAACCCTGAATGGCAGACCCAGTTTGGTGTGGCAGCTGAACTTTTAATTAGAGTTATGGTAGAAGTGAAATGATACATATTTGAAATGGAGAAGGAAGACTTCTCCCCCTCTGGATTGGATTAGTTCTGTCTGATTCTGTATGACGACGTGATCCAATTACATGCAGAATACAACAAGATTTCCCTTGAAACTCTTCCTGGTCAAAACCACAGAACTGCATGTATTCGAGTTTAGAATATGTTAAGGTGCAATTAAATGGTTTACAGATATGTGCAACACATTTTAACACATGAGAACATCTGCAGTAAATAACATTTTTTTTGTTTTGTGAAGCTTATACAACCTTTCAATAGAATGTCGGCAATAAAAGCAAATAACAGTACATTCAGATTTACTGTGAGTGTGGAAGATATATATTTTTGGGAGAAATTGTTGAAACCCCTAAAGATGCTTAAAAAGCTTTAAATTATTATAATTTTTTTTTTATCACAGATGCATAATTCCTGTCTGAAATGTTATTTGAAAGTTAAAATCCATGCAAAACCAAGTACCGTAAATTCTCTAATATTGGCCTGTATTTCACGGAGGAGAAATTAAATGCTCATGTCGGCTGGCATCACTTTCCTGAAAATTATAGCTTTGGCCTCCATGGTGAGTTCTATGTCTGAGTACTTGGAGCAAAACCCATCTGTTCAAGATTGCTTATTCTCTTTAAATATCAATTTCACTGTCACAGCCTCTGTATTTTTTAAATGTTTTTATTTGTATTTTTTCCGACACTGTTTTTATGCTTTTGTACGGTGACCTTGAGTGTCCAGAAAGGCACCTTTTTAAATAAAATGTATTATTATTATTATTATTATTTTCAACCCAGGACAATCCAGGAAGATGGCAGGTGTGCTGACCGGACTTTTCCTTTGAGAAATATTCAGAGCTTAGTCGATAGTTTTCAGAATATTCTTTATATTTCTGCACAACTGTCAGATATTGCTTCATAACATGAAACCACTTCATCCATTTTTGCTCATGCTGATAGGCTCTAACAATTTAAATAGGCGACTGTATTCACTATTCGTGGCTTTTATGGAGTATCAGAGTAAATTGGCTGAATATAAATAAACCCACACTTTCTAACTTTGCAAGAAATCAAGCAATTTACCAAAAAAAAAAACTTTTGGGTTTGTTAGATAAAGGTTTTTTAAAGGTTTTGTTTCTTATGTAATATATATGAAGATTATTGTGATTTCTAAGCCATATTCCTGCAAATAGAGTTTTTCTGCAGGGAAATGACATCAGCAACAAGCGCACACTGAGTCCGCTGTGCTTCCTTCCGTGTTCTGTGATAGTTTCCCCTGCAGTTTGACCTTATTCCAGGTTATTTCCTCCCTCTCTCTGGCCAAGTGATATTAGTCAGCCAGCTAACAGCTCATGGAGTTCTGCACTTAAATATGACCGTTGCAAAGGAAGACATACACCAGGATGATTTATATAACAGGTCATCATGAAAAGAGCAACGGTTACTCGTCCATTTTGAGGAACGTTTGTTGGTGGTTGCCCACCAAAGATAAAATACATTATTAGAAATTAGCAGGATTTATCGTCT